TTTTAGTAGAGACGGGGTTTCACCATCTTGGCCAGGCTGGTCTTGAACTCCTGACCTTGTGATCCACCTGCCTTGGCCTCCCAAAGTGCTGGGATTACAGGCATGAGCCACCACGCCCAGCTTCTGGCAAATTTTTAATTGTTTTGTAGGTACAGGATTTCTCTCTGTTGCCCAGGCTGGTCTCAAACTCCTGGACTCAAGTGATCCTCTTGCCTCGGCCTCCGAAAGTGCTCAGATTACAGGTGTGAGCCACTGCGCTCAGGCAATTTTCCTCTATAACATTTTATTCTGGCCCACGACACTCCTTCCTGAAGCTTTCCACTTGGCTGGCTCCTTCGTGTCCTTCACCTCTCAGCTCAAATGCCTTCTCCCTAAGAGGCCACCCTCGCTGTCCCCAGACAGCCTCCCTGGCTGTTTGCTTCTGTTCTCTTGCCTCTGGATGTGCTCAGTGCCGTGTGGATTTGGTATTTCTTGTTTTTTCATCTCTCCCCACCCCTGTGTAAGCACCTGGGGCACAAGAATCTTGCACATTTTCTTTTCTGCTGTATCTTCATTACCCAGACAATGCCTGGCAAGTAGATGCTCAGTAATTTTTTTTTTTTTTTGAGACGGAGTCTCGCTCTGTCTCCCAGGCTGGAGTGCGATCTCGGCTCACTGCAAGTTCTGCCTCCTGGGTTCACGCCATTCTCCTGCCTCAGCCTTCCCGAGTAGCTGGGACTACAGGCACCCGCCACCACACCCAGCTAATTTTTTTGTATTTTTAGTAGAGACAGGGTTTCACCATATTAGCCAGGATGGTCTCGATCTCCTGACCTCGTGATCCGCCCACCTCGGCCTCCCAAAGCGCTGGGGTTACAGGCGTGAGCCACCATGCCTGACCTCAATAACTTTATTTTATTTTATTTTTTGAGACAGAGTCTCCCTCCATAACCCAGGCTGGAGTGCAGTGGTGTGATCTTGGCTCACTGCAACCTCCGCCTCCCAGGTTCGAGTGATTCCCCTGCCTCAGCCTCCTGAGTAGCTAGGATTACAGGCACGCGCCACCACACCTGTCTAATTTTTTTTTTCTTTTTTGAGATGGAGTCTTGCTCCGTTGCCCAGGCTGGAGTGCAATGGCGTGATCTCGGCTCACTGCAAGCTCCGCCTCCTGGGTTCACACCGTTCTCCTGCCTCTGCTTCCTGAGTAGCTGGGACTACAGGCACTCACCACCACGCCCGGCTAATTTTTTGTATTTTTAGTACAGATCGGGTTTCACCATGTTAGCCAGGATGGTCTTGATCTCCAGATCTTGTGATTCACCCGCCCACCCACCTCGGCCTCCCAAAGTGCTGGGATTACAGGCCTGAGCCACTGCGCCAGTGTTTTGTGTGTGTGTGTGTGTGTGTGTACGTGTGTATGTGTATAAATGAATGTCTGCTTTGTGCCAAATACCGTGCAAAGTGCTGGGGATTCAAAGATCAGACAGTCTTATGCGAGGGGACTTGCGGTTCACTAGGACACAGACAAGCAGAGGGAATTGAGTGGCCTGTGGAGATGAGGGTGGGTACCAGTGCTGAGGCCTCTCTGTTCAGAAGAGAACTGTCCTGGTGAGTCCGGCCCCCTTCCTTCCTCCGGGTTTGCCTCCTGGCCCAGCTCGAATCCTGCATGAGATGGGAAGGAGGGAGTGTGGCAGTCCAGGGCCTTGTCATTGTCCCTTGGCCACCTGGGGAAAGCCCCTCACAGCAGCAATCATTGCTTCTGCCCGGAGAGCCTTCGTTTGGTGAAGATTGGGCATGTCTTTAAGATAGGGAGGCTGGCTTCTCCTTCCCTTTCTGATGTTTGTACCTGTGCCAGGTACAGCTAAGCAGGGGACCAGGAATAGTAGGCGTGGTGGCAGGGTGGAGAGCAAGGCCTCTGGGGGCGGTGCTGTGCCTCCCGCCCAGCAGCTCATAGTGGATGCCGGAGCTGCCATTGCTCGCCCGGGTGCTGGGAGGGCTGCCTGCTGAGGGAGGCAGCTGGGGTGGTGTGTGAAGCTGGGGTGTTCATGGGCATCAGACCATGTGTCTGCCAGGGTGCTGGTGTGAGCCGACATGGTTCTGCCTGCCCTCCACGTCTTCAGAAATGGAGCCCTCTGGCTCCTCCAAATTGTACCAAAAGTCTGGGGCAGGGTCTCACTGGCCTGTGTGGGTCCCTTGGCCAGCCCTGAATTGGTCCCTGGGGCTGAGGTGCGGACACAGTGCTCTGGTTGGCTGGCATTGATTGACTGTGGGACATAGGAGAGTCAAGGGGCCATCTCCAACCCAGACCTCACTGAGAGAGGCTCCTAGCCGGAGATCCATCGCACCTAGGAGGAGGTCCAGCAGGAGGGGCAGGCAGGGGGCTGGGCGGGGGCTGGGCGAGAACAGCCAGGTGGTGATGCTTGTTTTCACCCTCCCCCCAGAAAAGTTGCCAGACGGCCAGCATTGCCACTGCCAACGCGTCCGCCCAGGCCTGGAGTCATGTGGACGCCCAGGTGCAGACGGAGGCCCCTGTGCCCGTCAGCATGCAGCCCCTGTCCCGGTACGACATGTCTCGGCTCACAGCCTTTCTTCGGAGAGTGGAGACCATGGTCATCCGAGAGCTGAACAAGAACTGGCAGAGCCACGCGTTTGATGGCTTCGAGGTGAACTGGACCGAGCAGCAGCAGATGGTAGGGGATGGGCTGGTGCAGCCTCGGGTGGAGCCCCTGCTCCACTTCTGTCTCCCCTTGTTTTCCTTCCCACAAATAACAGCCGTGCCAGTCGTCGTCACGGTCAGCAGTCACCAGGCTCTAACGTCCTGCCTGGTACTGGGCTAGGTTCCCTAAGAATAAGTCAGTGAGTCTTCACTGCTGGCCTTGAGGTAGGTTTTGTTCTGTCCACTTTACGGTTAGGGAGATAGACATCCTGTGTGGAAGTAACGTCCAGGGTGAAACTGAGCGGGTGAGCAGTGGAGGCAGAGGCTGGAGCCCGGGTGGCCCGGCTGCTCTGCCTCCCCATGTATGGTACAGTGAGGGCCTTCTTTGGGCCAGGCCCAATTTAAGAATGTCTCCTGTGGTATCTTATTCACTCCTGAAAACAACTGTATGAGGCCGGGCGCGGTGGCTCACGCCTGTCATCGCAGCACTTGGGAGGCCGAGGTGGGCGGATCACCTGAGGTCAGGAGTTCCAGACCAGCCTGGCCAACATAGTGAAATCCCGTCTCTGCTAAAAATACAAAAATTAGCCAGGCGTGGTGGTGCACGCCTGTAGTTCCAGCTACTCGGGAGGCTGAGGCAGGAGAATTGCTTTAACCCGGGAGGTAGAGGTTGCAGTGAGCTGAGACTACACCACTGCACTCCTGCCTGGACAACAGAGCAAGACTCCTTCTGAAAAAAAGACAAACAAAAAAAAA